TCTCATGTTATTGAGGTCCAGTCCTAGTCGGAGAACTGGACTGTCCCTTCATGAAATTATAACGGGAAGGCCGATGAGATTGCCAGTAAAACCTCCCCTTTCTGTCAGACAGGTGGACATCCATAGCATGGATGAAACCTTATTCAACTATTGCATATTCTTGACTAAATCTCTTAAAGCCTTCCATTCACAGTACGGGACATATTGTGTGGCCTCTTAGAGACAAAGGAAGAGACCCTTTGGTCCAATACCTTAATGCTGACTAGATATCCGAAAGTAATCTAGTTCCATTTGTCAGTTTTTGGCCAGTATCCATCTAAACTCTTCCTATTCATGCCTAACCCATCCAGATGCCTTCAACTGTTGTAATTTTACCAGCCTCCACCACTTCCACTGGCAGCTCATTCCATACAAGCACCACCCTCTGCATGAAAAAAGTTGCCCCTTAGGTCCCTTTTAAATCATTCCCCTATCACCTTAACCTCTGCCCTCTAGTTTTGGTCTCCACTACTCTGGGGAAAATACCTTGGCTATTCACCCTATCTATGCCCCTCATGATTTTATAAACCTCTATGATGTCACCCCTCAACCTCCGAAGCTTCAGGAAATTAGTCCCAGCCTATTCAGCCTCTCCCTGTAGCTCAAACCCTTCAAACCTGGCAATATCCTTGTGAATCTTTTCTGAACCCTTTCAAGTTTCACCACATGTTCCCTATTGCAGGGAGACCAGAATTGAACACAGTATTGCAAAAGTGGCCTAACCAATGTCCTGTTTCGCTGCAATGTGACCTCCCAACTCCTATCCTCAATGTACTGACTAATAAAGGCAAGCACACCAAACACCTTCTTTACTATCCTGTCTACCTGCAACTCTACATTCAACGAACTATGAACCTGCACTCCAAGGTCTCTTTGTTCAAAAACACTCCCCAGGACCTTACCATTAAGTGAATAAGTCCTGCCCTAATTTGTCTTTCCAAAAAGCAGCACGTCTCATTTATCTTAATTAAACTCCATCTGCCACTCCTCAGCCCATCTGACCAAGGTCCCATTGTACTCTGCGGTAACCTTCTTGGCTGTCTACCACACCACCAATGTTAGTGTCATCTGCAAAGTTACTAACCATATGTTCGCATCCAAACATTTTATATAAATGGCAAAAATGGACCCAGCACCAATTCTTGTGACACATCGCTGGTCACAGGCCTCCAGTCTGAAAAGCAACCCTCCACTGCCACACTCTATCTCCTACCTTCGAGCCAGTTCTGTATCCAGATGGCTAGTTTTCCCTGTATTCCATGTGATGTAACCTTGCTGACAAGTCTACCATGCAGAACCTTGTCGAATGCCTTACAGAAATCCATATAGATCACATCCACTGCTCTGTCTTCATCAATCCTTTTTGTTACTTCTTCAAAAGACTCAATTAAGTTAGTCAGACATGATTTCCCAAGCACAAAGCCACATTGACTATCCCTAATCAGTCCTTGACTTTCCAAATACATGTAAATCCTGTCCCTTCAGATCCCCTCCAACAACTTGCCCACCACTAATGTCAGGCTCACTGGTCAATAGTTCCCAGGCTTTTCTTTACCACTTTTCTTAAATGGTGGCACCACGTAATCCAACCTCCAGTCTTCTGGCACCTCACCAGTAGCTATCGATGATACAAGTATCTCAGCAAGGGGTCCAACAATCCCTAGCTTCACACAAACTTCTCGGGTGGTGTGATCAGGTCCCGTTCTGGAGTATTGTATGCAGTTCTGGTCGTCCTGTTATAGGAAGGATATTATTAAACTGGAAAGGGTGCAGAAAAGATTTACAAGTGTGGCAGTGAGTTTCACAGATTCAACACCTGAATAAATTCTTCCTCATCTCAGTTCTAAACGGTCGTCTCTTCACTCCGAGGCTGTGCCCATGGGTCCTACTCTCCTACTCGGCGAAACATCTTCTCCATGTCCACTCTATTCAGGCATCTCAGTATTCTTTAAGTTTTAAACAGATCATCCCTCATCCTTCTAAACTTCATCAAGTACAGACCCAGAGTCCTCAACCGCTTCTCATATGACATGCCCTTTATCCCCGGGATCGTTCTTGTAAACCTGCTCTGGACACCCTCTGAGGCCAGCACATTCTTCCTTGGATATAGAGCCCAAAACTGCTCACAATATTTCAAATGAAGTCTGACCAGAGCCTTATATGACATCAGCGGTACATCTTTGCTCTTGTATTCTAGCCCTCTTGAAATGAATGCAAACATTGCATTTACCTTCCTAACTGCCAACTGAACCTACCTGTTAACCTGAAGAGAATCCTGAACTAGGATTCCCAAGTCCCTTTGTGCTTCAGATTTCCACAGCCTTTCTCAGAAAATAGTCAATGTCTCAATTCTTCCCATGGATGTGCACAGGGAAGGCAAATGGAATGTTGGCCTTTAATCAAAGATAGTGGAGTATAAAAGTGGGGATGTTTCTGCTAAAACTCTCCAAGGCACTGGTCAGACAATAGCTCGGATATGGTTTTGGGGCCCCGTATCTGAGGAAAGATAAACTGGGCATCGGAGGCAGTTGGAGAAGATCTGATCCCAGGTATGGAGGGACTGTTTGATGAGGGTGAGGTTGAGTAGGTTGGGCCTGTACTCATTGGAGTTTAGAAGATTGAAAATTCTTGGAGGGACTTGACAGGAGAAATGCAGAGAGAGGTTGTTTCCCTTTGTGTGGGAGTGTCTGGGACCAGAGGGACATCGTCTCTGAATAAGGGAGGTCGCCCACTGAAGATGGAGATGATGAGGAATTTCTTCACTCCAAGGGAAGCAAATCTGTGGAGTTCTTTACTACACAGGCCTGTCAAGGCTGAGTCATGAAGTATGTTCAAGGCTGAGATTTTTAATCGGAAAGGGGCATCGAGGGATATAGGGGAGAAAGTGGAGTTGAGGATGATTAGATCAGCTGCAATCTTGTTGATGGGTTGAGTGGCCTTGTTCTGCTCCTATAGGCACATGGACCCTATTCCCATAAGATGTAATCACAAAGCCTTGTGTTTCCTTTCTGACACAGTGATGCAAATTTATTTAGAAACTTGTTACCTCCTTCTTTCCTCTTTGCTTGAACAACAGAGTACACAATTTCATCACGATTGGGGCTGCTGGTGTCTGAAACAAAGAACACGCTTTCTCAGGTTCCAAAAGAGAGAGACACAGAGACAGAGACAGAGACAGTTAACATTACAGGTTATAAACACAAAGTGCCGGAGAAATTCAACAGGCCTAGCAGCATCTGTGAAAACAGAAAGAGAGAGAAAAAAAAAACTGTTCATGTCACAGCTAATAAATACAGAAAGTTCTGGAGAAACATAGAAGGTTTGGCAGCATCTGTAGAGAGAGAGAGAGATAGTTAACGTTTCAGATCCAGTGTGAAACTCCATTGGAACTAAGGAGGAAGAGGTGGAAAGGTATCAGAGTCAGTGCTCTGAACAATGAAGGCAAGCATGCCAAACACCTCCTTGACCACCCTGTCTACCTGTGATGTAATTTTCACAAAACTATGCAACTGAACCCCTCGGTCTTTCTGTTCAACAACACTTCCCAGGGCCCTACCATTAAATGTATGAGCCCTGCCCTTGTTTGTTTTACCAGAATGCCATATCTCACATTTATCCAAATTAAACTCCATCTGCCACTCCTCAGTCCATTAACGCAATTGATCAAGATCTTCTTGATAATCTGTGATAACTTTCTTCACTGTCGACCATGCTACCAATTTTGGTGCAAATGTATGAACTGCGCTTCCTAAATTCTCATCCAAATCGTTTATATAAATGCCAAACAGCGGACCAAGCACCAATCCCTACTTTTACCAGTACCTGTACAAGGAAACACATCCTTCGTCCCTCACGCACCTAGTTACAAACTCACCTCTCCTGGGTTGGGAACCGGAGGTGTCCTGATGTCTCTCTTTTCGATGGAGTTTGCAGACAGCGAACAGAAGCAGGAAAACAATGAGGAGAATTGCAGCAACAGCAGAACCTCCGACCAGCAGAGCAAATTTCCCAGAGGGATCTGGAACACAGAATTGGGAAAACCAAAGATCACTCTGATTGTCGCAAAGTCACTAAATTTAAAACTTCAGGTGAGAAAGCAGGGAACTGACCCCATTGAATTGGTGGAGGATGCTAAGGTAGCCAGATACGTAAGGGCTAGGAGCAGGAGTAGGACATTCAACTCCTCTCATTCAATACAACTGTGACTGATCTCATCTCTGCTTCACCTCCATTTCCCTGTCCTCACTCCCTTTAACCTGTCACTGATTAAAAATCTGCCTCCGCCTTAAATTTATTCAGTGTCCCGGCACCCACCACACACTCTCTGGGGGAGTGAATTCCTCCTCATTTGTTCTAAATCTCCACAGCCAAATGTCCTTTGGCTTTCTGTGGTAGAGAATTCCACAGGTTCCCCACTCTCTGGGTGATGACCTTTCTCTTCATCTCAATCCTACCCCATCTCCTTTAGCTGTGACCCTGCTGGTTCTGGACTCTTCCCCCCCGTCATCAGGAACATCCTGCCTGCATTTAGGATACAAGCTTCCCCCTGCTAATGACGGAAATTTCTATTCTAAAGACAGTAAAAATATGGACTCGAAATTGACCAAGTGGCAGGAAACAGAGAGTGATGGTCAATGGATATTTTTCGGGGTGGAGAAAAGTTTCTAGTGAAACTCCCCAGGGAATGGCTTTAGGACTCTTACTTCACCCAATATGCGTTAACGAATTGGATCTTGCTGTACTGGGGGGCTACTTCCAAGTTTGCAAATGACACAAAACATGGAAGAATTGTAAACGTGAGGAAGACAATGTGAAACTCTGAAAGGACATTGACAGGTTGGTGGAGTGGGCAGATTGGTGGCAGGTCCAGTTCCATGCAGTGTGAGGTGATGCACTTTAATGGGAAGAATGTTGAAAGACAATATAAAATAGCGGGGTACAACTGTAAAGGGGGGTGTAGGAGCAGAGGGAGCTGGTGGTATATCTGCACTGATCATTAAAGTGGCAGGACAGAGGGAAAGCGGTTAATAAAGCTCAGTGTCCTTGACTTTATGAAAAAGGGCATAAAATTAGACAGCAGGGAAATGAAGCTGTACAAGATACTGGTCAGACCTCAGCTGCAGAATTGTGTATAGTTGTGGGCGCCGCAATATAGGAAAGATGTGACTGCATTACAGAGAGAGAGAGAGTGCAGGAGCAGTTTACATGAATGGTTCCAGGCCTGAGAAACTTCAGTGATGAGAATTGAGCAAGGAAGTTGGGAATTGTTAGAGATTTTCAAAATCATGAGACGGGGGGACTGGGCAGAGTCGACAGGGAGAAGCTGTTCCCACTCATAAAAGGAACAAGAACGAAACAGGGGGAGCGGGGACAGGACCTGCAGTTTCCTATGTTGACCAAATAAGGCAAGTGTCAGGTGGTCACCAAGATAGACCATAGTACCTTACACAGAACATTGGGAGTTTAATTTTTAATCATTGTTCAGATCACTGATTATAGAGTTGAGACGTCATGTTGTGCATGTACAGGACATTGATGAGGCCACTTTTAGATTACTGTATACAATTCTGGCTGCCCTCCTATAGGAAGGATATTATTAAAATGGAAAGGATGCAGAAAAGATTTACATGGACGTTACTGAAGCTGGAGGGTTTGAATTACAAGGAGAGGCTGGATAAGCTGCGACTGTTTTCCGTGGAGCATAGGAGGTTGAGATGTGACCCAATATGAGGATTATAGACAGGGTGAAAAAGAAAGGGTAGGGGATTCCTGAACTACGGGGCACAGGTTTAAGCTGAGAGGGGAAAAATTTAAAAGGGACTTGAGGGACAACTTTTTGACACAGCGGGTGATTCGTGTATAGAATGGACCACCAGAGGAAGTGGTAAGTGCATGTACAGTTACAACATTTAAAAGATGTTTCAATAGGTACATGAATAGGACAGGCTTTGAGGGAGAAAGGCCAAATGCAGGCAAACAGGGCTGGTTTAGTTTGGGAAACTGGCCAGCATGGACGAGTTGAGCCTAAGGGCCTGTTTCTGTGCTCTATGACTCTGTGACTCAGTAAAACATTGCTGGCTGGGATGAAGCAATGTGATCAGGGTTTGGTTAATTCATTGGCTGAGAGCCAGAGAAGTTTCTGGAAGGAACTTTGAGATAAAGTGAGCAGAACAAAGGATTTCTCAGGGGGAGCTCTGGAGACCAACATTCGCAAAGTATGTGCCCTGAAGTGATCTTTGGAGAGGACAGAGAATCACGAGGCAAGATCTACACTAAAAGCAAATTTGACCACTTCACTTAAACTGAGCTAGTGTTCGATTCAAGCCAAATGAATAGTTATGGTTAAATGTGAATTAAATCAAGCAAAGGGAAGCTAAATGAAGTGAGTTAAAGCTGAAGTTAAGTCAGATGAACGAAGAAGTGAATGTATTCTTTTTGTTGAGTGCTGGTATCTAAAGGGTTAAGTAAAGAAGGGTTAGTTTATTTAGGTACTGAGTCAGTTCCCCACCTTTGGTCCACAGGATATCATAGAATCATAGAATCCCTACAGTGTCGAAGCATCCCACCCAGACCCATCCCCATCCCTATAAATCTGCATTTCCTGTAGCTAATGCACCTAACCAACATACCCCTGAACACTATGGGCAATTTAGCATGGCCAATCCACTTAGCCTGCACATCTTTGGGAGGAAATCAGAGCACCTGGCAGAAACCCCACAGACACAGGGAGAACATCAAACTCAACACAGACAGTCGCCCCAGGTTGGATTCGAACCCAGGACTTTGGCACTGTGAGGCAGCAGTGCTAACCACTGAGGCACTGTGCCGCCCCTCGGATATCTGGGTAAAAGGTTCGAGTGTCCCCTCAGATAACATGGCAATCTACAACTGATGGCTTCTTCCATTTTGATCCATACCTGACACAGTGAGGGCGAGCAGCTCACTGCAGTTGATAACGTCGGCAACGGCATTTGCAGCACCGCAGGAGTACACAGCGCCCTCCCCCTCATGTGGCACGGTGACATGGAAAGTGGCTGTCCTGCAGTCAACAACTGTCATGTTCCTCAGGAGGTGGTGGTGGTGACGGTATAGCATGAGGTTTATAGGCAGTGTCCCATTTTCGGAGGTACACCGGATGGTTAAGTGGTGACCAATGGACATAGCGGACCCCATCAGATCTGAGCTGATGGATGGGCAGCTCACAGGGACTGGGGAGGAGAGAGAAAATTCAGGCATCAATTAAATCCCAAGCAGCAAAAGTAATGACCCCAACACATACTGCACACGGACATGACTTTTCAAGGACAGATCCCCAGTGGTGAAAGTGCAGAATTAGATATAGTGACTGAGTTTTCAGTACAGAAACAGGTCCGTTGACACATCATGGCTTACCAGTCAAAAACAAGCACCTTGCTTTTCTAATCCCATTTTCATCAGGGCTAGTTCTTAAGGCTAAAGGGATCAAAGGGTATGGGGTGAAAGGGGAACCAGAGCACTGAGATGGATGATCAGCCATGATTGGATTGAATGGTGAAGCAGGCTTCAAAGGGCCGAATGTCCCCTACTCCTGCTCCTATTTTCTGTGATGCTATGATGGAAGGAATCATGTGCTGGTCACCTGTAACATCCATGATTTCCCACATATTAAAACATGCATTCCACATGACTGAGCTGTGCTGTCATACGTTAATTTACTTCATTTAGGTTGATAATATGTGACATTCATTTACTTATTATAATTTTGTTTTCCTTGACCTTACAATAATAAAGATAACAGATGTTGATCAACCTTACTAGGACTGAAAACTCCAACCAACAATTAACATACTTAACTGATTTCAAGTCAACCTCACTTGAACTCTTTGTCCCTTACTGCCTTTACTTTATTTTCTACTAATGGAGACATGGGCATGACTGGTTGGGTCCTATATTAATCACCTTTGTCCCTGGAGAAAGTAGTAGTGAGCTGTCTTCTTGAACCGCTGCAGTCCATGTGCTATCGATTAGGCAGAAATGCCACGAGGAGGGGAATTCCAGGATTTTGACACAGTGACACTGAAGGAATGGCCGATATATTTCTAAGTCAGGATGGTGAGTGGCTTGGAGGGGAATGTGCAGGGGGTGGTCTTCCCCTATATCTGCCTCCCTTTCCTTCTAGATGGAAGTGATCATGGGTTTGGATCTTTGGTGAATTTTGCAGTAGTCTCATAGATGCTGCTGACCATCGATGGTGGAGGGAGTGGATGTGGTGCCAATCAAGTGGCAGCTGCTTTGTCCTGGATAGTGTCGAGCCTCTCGAGTGTTGTTGGAGTTGCACTCATCCAGGCAAGTGGGGAATATTGCATCACACTCCTGACTTATGCCTTGTCGATGGTGGACGGGCTTTGGCGGGAGTCAGGAGGTGAGTTACTCGCTGCAGTATTCCTAGCCTCTGGTCTGCTCTTGCAGCCACAGTATTGAAATGATGAATCCAGTTCAGTTTTTGGTCAATGATAATCCCCAGGATGTTGGTAGTGGGGGAATTCAGTGATGGTAATACCATTGAGCATCAAGGGGGCGATGGTTAGATTCTCTCTCAATGGTAACCCTCAGGACGCTAATAGTGAGGGGTTTCAGTGATGGTAACACAATTGAACATCAAGAGACTATGGTTAGATTCTTTCTTATTTGTGTGGTGCAGATTTTACTTGCCACTTGTCAGCATAAGCCCGGAAATTATCCAGATCTTGTTACATTTGCACACAGATTGCTTCAGTATCTGAGGAGTAGTGAATGGAGCTGAAGGGTAGAGTTGTACAGATGTACAGCATGGAAACAGACACCTCAGTCCAATTCATGCATGTCGGCCAGATATTCTAAATTAGTCTTATCCTATTTTCCAGCATTTGGAATCATATCCCTCTGAGTGTTTCCTATTCATGTACCCATTCAGATGCCTCTTCAATGTTGTCATTGTACCCGTCTCTATGACTTCCTCTGGCAGCTCATTCCATGCATGCACCACTCTCTGTGTGAAAAGTGTTGTCCCTTCGGTCCCCTTTAAACTTGTCCCCTTTCACCTTAAACAAATGCCATCCAGTTACGGACACCCCTATATTGGCAAAGACCTTGGCTATTCACCCGATCCATGCCCCACATGATTTTCTGAACTTCTATATTTTATAAACCTCAGCCTTCGACTCTCCAGGGAAAATAGCCCCAGCCTATTCAGCCTCTCCCTCTTCCTCAAATCCTACATCCCCAGCAACATTCTTGTAAATCTTTTCAAAACCCTTTCGAGCTGAAGGACATCGTTCCCAGCAAAGAGACCAGAATAGAATGCTATATTCCAAAAACGGCTTTATCAATGTCTTGTACAGCCTCAACATGAAATCCCAACCCTGATACACACTGCTTTGACCAATGAAGGCAAGATTACTGAACACCTTCTTCAAAATCCTGTCTACCTGCCACTCAACTTTCAAGGAACTATGAACCTGCACCCTCTTTGTCCCTTTATTCAACAATATTCCCCAAGATGCCAGCATTAAATATATAAGCCCTGCCCTGATTTGCCTTACCAAATACAACACTTCACTTTTATCTAGTATTTATATAATTTGGATTACTGTGAACAGTTCTGGGTTCCCATATCTGAAGAAAGATAGCCTGGGCAGTGGAGGCAGCCCAGAGAAGGTTCACTCGGCTGATCCCAGATATGGAGAGACTGTCTGATAGGGAAAGGTTGAGTAGGTACGGCCTGTCCTCATTGGCGTTTAGAAGAATTAGAGGTGACCTTATTGAAGATTATTAGAGGAACCTGACAGGGGAGATGCAGAGAGAAGTTGTTTCCCCTTGTGTGGGAGAGTGTACGACCAGAGGGGCATCATCTCAGAATAAGGGAGGCCTCCTATTGAAGTTGGGGATGAGGAGGAATTTATTTTCTCTGAGGGGAGCTAATCTGTGGAATTTTTTTTTACCACAGAGGGCTGTCAAGGCTGGGCCATTCAGTATATTCAAGCCGAGATGGGGATTTTTAATCAGGAAGGGGAATTGAGGGTAATGGGGGAGAGGTGGGGGGAAAGGCAGGAAAGTGGAGTTGAGGATGATCAGATCAGCTATGCTCCCATTGAAGAGTGGAGCGGACTCGATGGGCTGAATGGCCTATTCCCACTCCTACATTTTATGATCTTCACATTCTGAGGATAACCAGGTTACATGAACCGTGCAGATGCAAAAACTTGCACAGAGTCAGGCCAAATTACACAGAAATAGTGTAAGAGGCCACTCACAACCAAATGAGCTCTGGTAAGAAACTGGTCTCGGGATCAGAGCAGAGATGAATGTTGGTGATCTACCAATTACAAAACCCTCCTCATGAACTTAACCCTCCTCAGTCCCAGCAGCTAAATTTGGACAGAAAAGCTGGAGCTATTCCAACAGCAACACGAGATGGCATGTGACGTCTGTTAAACTGACAGACGCATTTCTGACTGATTGTCATTGACTGATGTATTCTCCATGGCGACCAGAGTGCCAATTCATCTCCTCTCTTCTGTTGCCAATTTCGATTTGCTCCCCTTTGAGTTGGCAGTCTTGCAAAATGTCCTGATCGGTTTAAAGACGTCAACCGAAAGGCGCCATTTTCATTTGGCCAGATGAGCGCTAGTGAACCTTGGTTTCCATCCTGTGTCAGCCTCTCCCCACATCCCCAACGCAGCCCCCACCCCCCGACCCTCACTTCAACCTGGCCCCTTGGTTGACTCACTCTGGACAGTGACTTCCACCCAGAGGGACAGGAACGTCGAAAGGTTCTGGAAAATCGCACAGCGGTACCATCCCGAATCCATTAGGGTTGCTCAGTGGATGCGATAGACATTGCGAGGCACGGAATCAGGGTTCAGGAGGGTCTCATTTCTGGAGAAGGAAATTTGTCCTCTTCCACACACATGATCCTGGGTACACCGACAATTCAATGTGACGGAATCACCATCTCTCTGTAGTCTGGGATCCACTTGCAATGTCACCGGACTTTCTGAAATTGTTAGAGCGATTAAACATTTTGTGACATAAACCATGGGATTTTGATTAATCATTTTCAATCTCTGTTGCTTGGATATCTGCTTCGCAGCTGTAGGGAGTGTAGCAAGGTCAGTAGCGTGGACCTTGTAGGATATAAGTTCCCTGATTGGAGCTGTTTACTTGGTCCAAATAGAGTTCTGGGTGAAAGGCATAAACGGGTGTGTCAGTGTTTCTGCTCACTCTCGAAGCCAGCCCTGAGCTAGTTGGGTTAGTGTCACGTGCTATACAAGTGTAATTAAAAGGTGACTTGGTGACTGGATACTGGCTTCTGTGAAGTTATTTCATCAGCAATTAACTGATGCATTTTCATCTCTGCATGTGATGTTAATTATTAACTCGCAAGTACTTTTGATGCCGTTCCTTCTAAAACAGTTTAGAAACCTGGATATAGACTGAATGGCTTTATGCATCAGCGAATGTTTGCTGCATTTCGATTGTTTTTTGCAGGAATGATTAGCAGTGCAGTTCTGAGAGACACTTTGGGATGAGCAATCATAACATGATAGAATTCTTCAGTAGGATGTTGAGTGAGACTCTGGGACTAGGTTCCTGAATGTTAATAAGGAAAACTACAATGGTATGAGGTGTGAGTTGACTGTGATAGTTGAGTTGATAGTCTAAGTGAGTGGGCAAAGGTATGGCAGATGGAGTATAATGTTGATAAGTGTGAGGTCATCCATTTTGGTAGGAATAACAGCAAAATGGTAAATGGTAAAAAGTTGCAGCAAGCTGCTGTGCAGAGGGACTTGGGTGTCCTTGTGCATGAGTCACTAAAAGTAGGATTGCAGGTGCAGCAGGTAATTAAAAAGGCAAATGGAATTTTATCTGTCATTGCTAGGGGGCTAGAGTTTAAAAACAGGGAGGCTATGCTGCAGCTGTATAGGGTTGTGGTGAGGCCACACCTGGAGTACTGTGTGTAGTTTTGGTCTCCTTACTTGAGAAGGGATATGGTAGCACTGGAGGGGGTGCAGAGGAGATTCACTCGGTTGATTCCACAGTTGAGAGGGTTGGATGATGAGAAGAGACTAAGTAGGCTGGGTTATACTCATTAGAATTCGGAAGAATGATGGGATATCTCATAGAAACATATAAGATTATTGAAGGGAATAGATAAAGTGGAGGCAGGGAGGTTGTTTCCATTAGCAGGTGAAACTAGGACGAGGGGGCAAAGCCTCAAAATAAAGGGAAGCAGATGTTGGACTGAGGTCAGGAGGAACTTCTTCACCCAAAGGGTTGTGAATCTGTGGAATTCCCTGCCCAGTGAAGCAGTTGAAGCTACCTCGTTGAATGTTTCTAAGGCAAGGTTAGGTAAATTTTTGAACAGTGAAGGAATTAAAGGTTATGGTGTGCGGGTGTGTAAGTGGAGCTGAGTCTCAAAAAGGTCAGCCATGATCTTATTAAATGGCGGGGCAGGCTCGAGGGGCCAGATGGCCTACTCCTGCTCCTGGTTCTTATGTGCTAATGATGGATTGGGAAATGTTACCGAAAGGATTGACAGTGGGTAGGCAGTGCCAAACATTCAATGACAAATGGGTGAACTACAGAAATTATTTATTACAACCTGACTCGAGTGCAAAGAGAACAGTGGCCAAACCATGGCTTCCGAAAGGAGTTGAAGATGGTATTAACTGAAAAAATAAAGGCATAAAAATTGGCAAGAAAAAGAAACAATAGCCCCGAGGATTGGGAACATTTAAGATTTCAGCAAGAGAGGACTAAAGGATGCATTGAGAAAGGTAAACTAGAGAATGAGTATAAGCTTGCAGGGAACAGAAAAAACTGACTGTGAAAGCTTCTGCAAGTATGTAAAGAGAAGAAGTTTGGTGAAAACTAATGTAACTCTCTTGCAGTCAGAAACAGGGGACTTTATAATGGGGAACAAAGAAATGGCTGATAAACTAAATTCATACTTCAATTATGTCTTCACACAGGAGGATATAAAAAATGTGCTAGAAATGATAGTGAACAAAGAGATTGGTGAGATAGAAAAGGTAAAGAAATACTGTTGGGCAAATTGATGGGATTAAAGGGTGATAAATCCCCAGGGACTGACAACCTATATCCCAGAGTGCTAAAGTAACTGGCCTTAAAATTAATGGATGCATTGGTGACCATGTTGCAAGATTCTACAGACTCTGAAACAGTTCCTACACATTACAGGGCAGCTGATGTAACCTTACTATTTAAAAAGGGAGGTAGACACAAAACTGGGAATTATAGACCAGTCAGCCTGACATCGGTATTGGGTGTATCAGGGATTGGGAGATGTTGAGCGTTCAATATTAGCCATCATTTCAAGCCAACATGGGTCAGTTTAACCTGCATTACAGCCAGCAACTGATGTCAGATCCAGCACCATGCTGTTATCAGCGAGAATTAACTGCTCAGTTACTGCTTATTAAGGCCAATCAATCACTATTATCCTCTTGGCACCTGAAGTTCATTTCCATCGAGATTTCATGGGAATTAAATCAATCAAATTGTGTGACCAACTTACAAAATCCCATCCACATCAAATTTGGGGTGCTACATTGGATAGAGGATTGGCCAGCCAATAGACAACAGACAATCAGGATAAATGGATTTTTTTTCTGTTTGGCAAGGTATAATGAGTGGGGACCAGAGGGTTAAGTCCTTGTCCCTAACAATTTATAATGTGTATTTCTGACTTGGGCGAAAGGATAAAAGATAACACTAAAATAGTTTGGAAACTAAGCTGCAATGAAGAAATAACAAATAGAAATGGATAGGTTAGGTGAAGGTACCAACATTTGACATGGAAAAGTGTGTGGTTTCCCATTGTAGTCAAAGGACTGGAAAGGCAACTTATTATTCAAGTGGGAGAGAAACTTCAGAGTGATCCAGTACAGAGGGATCTGGGTGTCCTTGTGCATGAATCTCAGAAAGCAGGCACACAGGATAGCAGGCAATAAGGAAGACAACTGGCAATTGCGAAAGGAATGGCACGTATGAGAAAGGAAGTGTTGCTGCAACTGCATTAGTGTTTCTGCATCCAGAGTACTGTGTAGAGTTTTGGTCCTCTTACTTGAGAAGGGATATAGTTGCATTGGAGACAATTCAGAGGAGAATCACAAAATTGATTCCAGAGATGAGGAGTTTGTCTTATGAGGAGAGATTGAGCAGTATTGCCCTATGCTGTCTGGAGTTTAGGAGAATGTGAGGAGAGCTAATTGAGGGATATAAGATAGTGAAGGGGGGGATTGACAAAGGAAATGGAGAGAGGATGTTTCCTCATGTGGGGCAATCTAGAACGAGAGGTCAAGGTGGCTCAGCAGTTAGCAATGCTGCCTCACAGTACGAGCGACTTGAGTTCAATTCCACACTCGGACAGCTGTGTGTGTGGAGTTTGCATGTTCTCCCTGTGCCTGTGGGTTTGCTCGAGGTGCTTTGGTTTCCTTCCACAGTCCAAAGATGTGCAAGTTGGGTGGATTGGCCATGCTAAATTACCGTAGTGTTCAGGCATGTATAGGTTAGGAGGGTTAGCCAAAGGAATTGCAGGGTATGGGGATCAGTCTGGGTGGGATACTCTTTGAAGTGTTGGTATGGGCTCAATGGGCTGAATGGCTTGTTTCCAAACTGTTTGAAATTCTATGGATTTCACCGGAATTGGTTTGGGGCAGATTGAAAACAGAGATGAGGAGGAATGTCTTCTCTCAAAGTGGGGGAAGGGGTGGTTCGTGAATCTGTAGAAATTCACCCACCCCCCATAGTGTGTGGGGGATGCCGGGACACTGAATAAATTGAAGGAGGGGACAGATTTTTAATCAGTGATGGGTTAAAGGGAATGGCGGCAGGAAAGTGGAGTTGAGGCCAAGATGTGATCTACCACAGTCATACGGAATGGGGAGCAGGCTTTTGAATGACTGAATGGATTCCTCCTGCTCCTAGCCCCTACATTCTCAAAGTGACACGTACCTCGCACATCCACATGTATGTAAGCTGATGTGTACACAGGACCATTGGGATAATCAACAAAACGCACTTGACATCGATACCGTCCTGTATCTTCAAATGTAACTGGCTCTTTTTGAAAAGAAACACTTTTATTTATTGTCTGGATCTCAGCCACAACAGAACCTTCCTGATAAAATGTGTAAACGAACTTATTGTGCGTGGGGTTCGAGCAGTTACAACTCAGCCTCAGTGTCTGTTCATACCACAGAGGTTCTGGCTCAGACTCAATCCTCATAGTCGAATCAGGAGCTGTCAAAAAAGAAATGACTCAAAATAATAACAGGCTGGAAGCACCAACCAGACCAATCAGCTACTTGCTGCTCATCAAATCTCCACTCGTACACACCCACTTTGACTCCACCTCATCGTCTCACATGACTTTCTCTTCTGCTTCAGCAAGCAGCTGTGCAACCAATGCTTCCAATGAGTGTTAGAAAACTATTTTTCAAAACGGGCAGTGAGTTTTGCTTTCTCAGAGTCCTTTGCCCACTGTCCAAGATACAGAAAAAAAGATTGTGTAATTCCCAGAAGCAGTGCATCCCATTGACAGAAAGAATACAGGAACTGGATATTCTTTAAATGGAGAAAGGTTGCATAAAGCGATAGGGCAGAGGAATTTGCGGAGTCTTCGTCCATGAATTACAACAAAAAAGCTAGCATCAAAGTTCAGCACGTCATAGGATGACTTGTCATTATTTTCAAAGGGAATGGAGTATAAAAGGTGGGAGGTTTTGCTAAAACTATACAAGGCATTAATCAGACCACAGATGGGATACAGTGAACAGTTTGGGCCCCACATCTAAAGAAGGACAGACTGGCATTGGAGGCAGTCTGGAGAAGGTTCACTCAGTTGATCCTGGGTCTGGAGAGACTACCTGGTGAGGAGGAAGTTAAGTAGGTTGGGCCTGTCCTCATTGAAGTTTAGAAGGAGGAGAGGCAACCTTATTGAAGATTCTTAGAGGGACATGACAGGGGAGATACAGACATGGTTTCTTTCCCCTTGTGTGGGAGAGTCTGGGACCAAAGGGGCATAATCTCAGAATACAGGGGTGAGGCGCCCATTGAAGATGGAGATGAAGAGGAATTTCTTCTCTCCGAGGGGAACGAATCTGTGGAATTCTTTACCACAGAGGACTGGCGAGGTTGAGTTGTTGAGGATATTCAAGATTGAGATTTTTTAATCTGAAAGGGGAATCGAGGGTTATGGGGGAAAGTAGATGATCAGATCGGCCGTGATCTCATTGTGCGTTGGAGCAGACACAATGGGCTGAATAACCTCATTCTGATCCCATGTCTCCAGAATTTGAGAATGTCAGTGTGACAAGTCACTGCTCTGCCGAGATACCAGTTAGCACCAGCTACATGCGGACTAAGATACTGCTGAGGTCTACAGTTCTTTCTTTGATGCACCAAGTTAATGTTTGAAAAAGAGAACCAACCATTTCATAATGTCCTGCATTCACTGTGGAGGAGAAACTGTGCAGGGGGAAGTGTTTAACAAAGGATTAGAAGAATGCCTAACACATGGTCATGGAGTCACACAGCTCAGGAACAGACCCTTCAGTCCAACCTATCTATACTGACCATAATCCCCAACTAAACTAGTTCCACCTGCCTGGGCTTGGCCCAGAGACCTCCAAATATTTCCTATTCATTCACTTAATCCAAATGTCTTTCAAATGTTGTATCTGTACCCACATCCACCACTTCCACTGGAAATTCATTCCAAATATGAACCACTCTCTATGTAAAAAAAAAATGCCCTCATGTCATTTTCAAACCACTGTCCTGTCACTTGAAAAATATGCCCCCCAAGTCTTGAAATCCTTCATCCAAGCTAAAAAGACACCTTATGTACACCCCTCATGATATTATAAATCTCTTTATGGTCACCCCTCAAACTCCTCTGCTCCAGCTTTTCCAACCTCTCTTCGTAACTAAAAACCTCCATTCCTGGCAACATCCTGATAAATCTTATCTGAACCCTCTCCAGCTTAATAATATCTTTCCTCTAATAGGGCAACCAGAACTGGACGCAGTACTCCAGAAGAGGCCTCACCAACATCCTGTACGTCCTCAACATGACATCCCAACTCCTATACTCAAAGGACTGAGCAATCAAGGCAAACATGTTAAATGCCTTCTTAACCACCCTGTCTACTTCTGAAGCAAAATTCAAAGAATTATATACCTGAACTGCAGGTCGCTGTGTCAACTACACTACCCAAGGCTCTTTTAATTGTATAAGCCCTGCCCTTGTTTGTTTATCAAAATGCAACACACCACATTTCCCCAAATTAATCTCAATCTGCTACTGCTCAGCCCACTGACCCAATCACTTTTCAGGGCCAGATGAACGTTTGTAGTGGATATATAATTCATGATCTGGATCTGGCTGTGCAGGGGGACCACTTCCAAATTTATAGATGGCAAGAAACCTGGGAGAATCTGAATCTGTAAAGAGAACAGTGCAGAAATCGGATAGGACATTGAATAGTTGATGGAGTGGGCAGAGAGGTGGCAGATGCAGTTCAATGCAAAGAGAAGTGAGGTGATCCACATTGTTGGGAAGAACATTGAAAGATAATATAAAATAGGTGAGTACAATTCTAAAGGTGGGTATAGGAGCAGATGGGGTTGGGGGAATATGTGCACAGACCATTGAAGGTGGGAGGACAGTGGGAGATCACAGTTAATAAAGCTCACAACGCTTTCAGCTTTATTAAAAGGGACAGAGAGTCCAACAACAGGGACGTAATGTTGAATTTGTACAGGACACTTGTTAGACCTCAGCTGGAGTACTGTGTACAATTGTGGGCGCCACATTATAAGACAAGTTTCAAACGCATTGGGTGGGCTGGGATGTGGGGATGGGGAGCACAGAAGCAGTTTACAGGAAAGATTGCAGGGATGAGACACTTCAGCGCTGAGGCTAGAATGGAGAATGATACTTTTCAGTCCATTCCAGGCACTGTACGGACATTAAACCACGAGCTTTGTTTTGACTTAAGATCATAAATAGCCAGGAGTTTGGTTTAAAAAGGAATCTGTTTCTCTCTTATCAAGAGATTGCTTCAGTTCAGATTTTGTCACTCTGTGAGTGCACCAGCAGTGTGTTTTCTTTTTGCTGTTTTGTTTTAAATTTGTGAAGACTCCAAGCCAGGACAGTTTGATACAGCAACTTAAAATTCTCAGAAGTGAAATATTAAAACAAAAACACTCATGCCCTCAAAATCGCAAGATGGTCACACAATCAAACATGGGAATGAATCGTAACACTGAAAAGACAAAAACGGAAGGAAGGAGCCAGTTAAGTAGAAAGCTGAAGAGGTGGGTGAGGAGGATTGAAACATAGAAAATAGGATCAAGGCGTAGAGCTCTGTCATTCAATGAGATTGTCCAACTCAGTTTCCTGTGTGTGAAGAACTATATGTAATACCACCCATGAGGGGCAGTCTTGGTGTACCGGTCATAACACAAGCTAGCATTTGCGTGCACCAGGGTGACAGACCACAGGGTGGGTTCAAATTCCCCCTTCCCTGGGGGAGCAGCTAGGGAACAGTCATCCAGTCTCAGTGAGATCTAGGCTCGATGTTGGATCTCAGAGACGGTGTCCATCGAACCCATCAACCCCACCTTCAGAAGAGTCCCGCCTGGAATCTCTACCGGATCTGTGCCCTTCCGGAGCCCATTGCCACCAATTCTCCAGTGAGCAATCTGCCCAGTCCATGGGCACATGGCTCAGAACTTGATAGCAATGCCCAAGAAAGGACTGGGGGAGTGGTGAACAAGATGGTGGGATGGACCGAAAATTGAAACAATGAATTCCAGTGAGACTTTGCACATCACAACAGCAATGGTGCTATTCCAAGAGAATGCCAATACCCTTGCTTTTCCCACCCCCGTCCATCCCTGGGAACGAATGTAACTCCCCTCAAATGCCTGGAGGGGTGCTACTTGAGAGAAAGAGATTGACTTATCTCAGACCGACTTGACTCACCCGATATTCTCACGAGAATGCTGTTACTGTCGGCTGTTGTTTGTGTCGATGTGGAAGTTTGGCATCTGTACTCCCCATCATGCTCTTTTCCAGCAGCCTCAATGGTGTAAATCTTCCCCCTGAACTCTTTGGTCATGTTGTTTATGATCCACTTATATCTCACCAAACGAAGCTCTCGACCGGCATCACAGCTAAGAACGATCCGGTCGCCCGTTAAGAATCTCTCCCACATTGGCTCCATCGTGAGCACGGGTGTTCCAGTCTCTGCTGAGGAACCTAATGCACAGGAAAACAAAAAAAAACACAAGGGGAAGAACTGAAATTGTCTTGCTGCAGTAGGATGGTTAGTTTGCTGCTCCAATAACTCAAGCAGTCCACGTTCAAGATCTGGATAATATACAGGCTTCGGCTGTTGAGTGGCAAGTAAAATTTGCACCACACAAATGCCAGGCAATGACCACATCCAAGAAGAGAGAATCTAACCATCATCCCTAACATTCAATGGTGTTATCATCCCTGAATCCCCCACTGTCAACATTCTGGGAGTTGCTATTGAGAGGGAATCTAACCATCGTCCCCGTAATGTTCACTGGCACCCGCTCCACTATCAACATCCTGGTGGTTACCATTGAGAGAGAATCTATCCATCACCCATCGACATTCAGTGGTGTTACCATCACTGAATCACCCACTATCAACATCCTTGGGGTTACTATTGAGAGAGAATCTAATCATTGGTCCTTGGCACTCAATGGTATTACCATCACTGAGTCCCCCCACTATCAACATCCTGGTGGTTACCATTGACCAATAACTGAACTAAGCTCGCCATGTAAATACAGCGGCTACAAGAGCAGGTCAGAAGCTGGGAATTCTGCAAGAAGTAACTCACCTCCAGACGCCCCAAAGCCTGTCCACCATCGACATGGCACAAGGGATAGTCAACATCGTTTTGTGCATGGAAAATCATGTCTCACTAACTTGACTGAATTTTTTGCAGAAGTGACAAGGAAGATTGAAGGCAGAGCAGTGGACATTGTCTAAATGGACTTCACCAAGGCATTCGTCAAGGTTCCACATGGTAGACTGGTTAACAAGATTAGATCACATGGAATACATGGAGAGCTAGCCAACTGTATACAAAATTGGTTCGAAGGTAGGAGACAGAGGGCGGTGGAGGGTTGCTCTTTGGACAGAAGGCCTATGATCAGAATTGTGCTGCAAGGATCAGTGCTGAGTCCACTGCTTTTCATCAACTACATAAATGATTTGGATGTGAATATCGGAAACATTGTTACTAAGTTTACAGACAACACCAAAATTGGTGGTAAAATGGACAGTGAATAAGTTTATCTCAGAGTACAATGGGACCTTGCCTGGGCTGATGAGTGCAGACGGAGTTCAATTTAAATAAATGTGATGTGTTGCTTTTCGTAAAGCAAATTAGGGCAGGACTTATCGAATTGATGATAGTGTCCCAAGGAGTGTTGCTGAACAAAGTGAGCTTGGAGTGCAGGTTCACAGTTCATTGGAGGTGACATTGCAGATAGAGAAATAAATGAAGGTGGTGTTTGGTATGTTTACCTTTATTGAGCAGTGCATTGAATATAGGTCATGTTGCGGCTGTACAGGAGATTGGTTAGGTCACTTGTGGAATACTGCAAAGGAAAAACGTCAAGAAACTTGAAAAGGTTGAGAAAAGATTACAAGGATGTTGCCAGGGTTGAAGGGTGTGAGCTGTAGGGGGAGGTTGAATAGTCTGGGGCTATTTTCCCTGGAGTGTTGAAGGCTGAGGGGTGACCTTTTTGAGACTTATAAAATCATGAGAGGCATGGATCAGGTGAATAGCCAAGGTCTTTTCCCCAATGTATGGGAGTCCAAAACTAGATGGCTTAGATTTAAGGTGACAAGAAAAAGATTTGAAAAGGACCTGAGGGCAATTTTTTCACACGGAGGGTGGTGCATGTATGGAATGAGCTGCCAGAGGAGGTGGTGGAGGCTGGTATAATTACAACATTTAAAATACATCTGATGGGTACGTGAAGAGGAAGGGTTAAGAGGGATATGGGCCAAATACAGCCAATTGGCACTCGATTAATTTAGGACATCTGGTCGGGATGGATGAGTTGGTCCGAAGGGTCTGTTCCCATGCTGTGCATCTCTGTGACTCTATAACGGTAAGTCAAGAGTGTGATGGACTCGAAATGTTAACTCTGATTTTCTCTCTCCGCAGATGCTGTTAGACCTGCTGAGTTTCTCCAGCACTCTCAGTGTTGTTTCAGATCTCCTGCATCCACAATACTTTGTTATTCATTATGTAAAAATTGGCTTGAGTACTGACACCATGGATTTCATCAATATGTCATGTGGTGGAGCCAAACTGGGACTCAACATACCTTCTCGTATTTGTACAATTATCACTTGCCCTGAAAATACACAATTAGATAAAATTGATAAGTTTTGTGGGTTTTATGGAAACAAAGAGAAAACAATCCAGTGGTTTTATCTCTGAAAATTGCTCTGCCTAAAAGTCATGCTCTAAAATGCACCTTTGCATTTGTCCTACATCTTGAAATGTTCATTAACAAAGTCTGGAGATGTCTTTCCCATCATCCAAAAGAAACGCGATTGGGAAGTAGATTCAGGGCTGAGCTGGAGAGATTTTTAATCAGGAAGGGAATCAAGGGTCAGAGAGAAAAGTTTTGTTGAGGATGATCGGATCAAACACAATCTCATGGAATGGTGGAGCAGACTCGATGGGGTGAATGGCCAACTGCTGATCAAATGCTTTAACATGATCGCTCTTATTTTCATTTGTTCAGCGGTGATGCATAATAAGGCTCACTTGTTGACGTCATGCGTGTGACAACGTGAGAGCAAAAGTCCATGTGTGTGTGCGCACTTGAGAAAAATTGTGTGGGTGTGTGCGTGAGCAAAAGTGTGTGAGAGAGAGAATGTGCATGTGTGTGAGCGAGGGAGAGAATGTGGGTGTGTGTGCGCGAGAGAGTGAGAGATAGAGAGGAGTCTGTGTGTATGTATCTGAGAGAGACAGGAAGTTTTGTGTGTGAGAGGAAGGTTTGCATGTGTGAGACAGAAGTCTGTATTTGTGTGTGTATGAGAGAGGAATCTGTGTGCCTGAGAGACAGTCTGTGTGCGTGTGTGTACATGCACTCAGGAGAGAGAGGAACCTCTATGTGTGAGAGAGGGAGAATGTGTGTGTGAGAGAGGGAGAATGTGTGTGTGCGTGGGAGAATGTGTGTGTGTGCGTGCGTGAGCGTGTGTGTGTGTGCGCGTGAGCGTGTGTGCGTGCGTGAGCGTGTGTGTGGGTGCATGAGAGAGAGAGGGGTCTGTTTGAGAGAGGGGTTCTGTGCCTGTGTGTTTATGTATGTGAGAGAGAGGAGTCTGTGTGTGTGTGAGAAGTGCGAGAGTGTGGGAGAGAAAGAACAAGAAAGAGAGGTATCTGTGTGTATGTGAGAGGAGTCTGTGTGTTTGTGTGTGTACGCACGTGAGAGTAGAATCTGTGTATGTGAGAAAGAGAGATGTGTAGATTGTGTGTATGAAAGAGCGTAGACATGCATGTATATGTGTGTAGGTGTGAGAGAGACAGATAGAGAGACTGTGTATATTCATGTGTGAGAGTGAGGGCATGTGTGTGTGAAAGGGGCAGAAACAGACAGAGCTGGAAAGGATACAGATCAAGGAAAGCAGAGAGTGAGGGAGGGAGAGAGAGAGAGAAAGAGAGAGAGACAGAGACAGAAGAGGGCTAAAGAAAGAGAGACAAGGAGGGAGAGTCATGGAGGGAGAGCGAAAGAGAGAGACAGAGGGAAAGAAAAATAGAAAGGAGGACAGAGAGAGAGGGAGAAAGGGAGAGGGAGGCAGAGGAAGAGTGAGTGAGAGATGAAAGAGAGGGATGGGAGAACAAGACAGAAGGTAAAGAAGGAAGGACAGACTGAGAGGGAGGGACAGTGTGCGAGAGACATGGAGAAGGGGTGGTTAGACAGCGAGAAATAGAACAAAAGGGGTAGGATGAGGGAAATAGAGTGAGAGGAAAGGGAAGGAAGAGAGAGGGGGTTGGGTAGAGAGAGCATAACAAAGAATGACAGTGAGAGGGAAAGAGAGGGAGGGAGAGAAAGAAAAAGATGAGAGAAAGAGAGACAGTGATAGGGTGTTTACAGGGAGACAGAAAGAGAGAGACAGTGATAAAGAGTGTGATCGATAGGGAGAGACAGATGGAAGAAAGAAAGATAAAGAGAGAGAGGATGGATAAGGAGAGAGTGAGTGTGGGAGCAAGAAAAAGAGGAGAGAGAGTTGGGAGACAGAGAGAAAATGGGAGGGGAGACTGAGATAGGGAGATGGGTCAGAAAGAGAGAAAGAGAGAGAGGAACATAGACAGATTCAGAGAGAGGGAAAAAAAAAGAGGGAGAGAAAAGTTCTAGGGACTTGGATTTAATTCCCATCATGTGCAGAGAGCAAAAATGGAAGTCTATAAAAATATGGAATAAAAAGTGAAGGTAATTAATGCTGGGCCCAACCAACAATGCCCACATCCTGTGAATGAATTCATTTTTAAAAAAGACACGCCGTTTATTAATGAGATTGAGATTGAAGCATCCATTCGGTCCCTCAAGCCTGCTACACCATTTAACAGAATCATGGCTGATTCTCTATCTCAAAGCCATAAAGAAAGAGAAAACAATTCAGTGGTTTTTACCTTTGAAAGTTGCTCTTCCTAAAAGTTATGCTCTAAAATGCACCGATGTATTTATCCTACATCCCACTTTGTCTTCATTCCACTTGGTTCTTTTCAAATCCAGACAATTATTTATCTCCGCAGGATTTATTTTTGACCCACCCTCCACATCATTCTGTCGCTGAGAATTTTACAGGCCCACTCCCTTCTGGGGGAAGATATTTCTCCTCATCTCAGCCCTACTCCATCTCCTGTAGACTGCACCTCCCTGGTCCTAGACTCCTCTTAATCAGGGGGAAACATACTCCCTGCATCTAGTCTGTCCAGCACTGGTAGAATTTTCAATCTGATCCCCTCTTCTCAAAGAACAAAGAACAAAGAAAATTACAGTACAGGAACAGGCCCTTTGGCCCTCCAAGCCTGCACGGACATGCTGCCCATCACAACTAAAACCCCCTACCCTTCAGGGACCGTATCCCTCTCATCCCAGCCTGTTCATGTATTTGTCAAGACGTCCTTTAAAAGTCACCATAGTATCTGCTTCCACTACTTCCACCAGCAGAGAGTTCCAGGCACCCACCACCCTCTGTGTAAAAAAACTTGCCTCGTACATCACTTTAAGCCTTGCCCCTTGCCTTCTTCTTCTCCTTCTAAACTCTAGTGAATATAGCTCCCATTCAAATCAATCTCTTCAGATAGGACAATCTTACCATCCCTACTATCAGCTAAGTGAACTTCTGCTTCACTCCTTCTCTGGAAAGGATATCCTTTCTTCAGTAAGGAGACCAAAACTGCACACAATACTCCAGGTGTGGTCTCACCGAGACCCTGTATAACTGCAGTAAGACAACCCTACTTCCAAATTCTAATCCTCTTGCAATGAAGACCAATGTCCCATTTGCCTTCCTAATTACTGGCCGTACCTGCACGTGTACTTTTATTGACACTCTGATCCCTTTGTACATCCACACTTCCCAGTGTATCACCATTTCAATCATATATGCTTTCTGTTTCTCCACACCTGAAGTGCATCATTTTACATTTAGCCACGTTGTACTGCATTTGCCATGAGCTTGCCCCACTCACTCAATTTGTCCAAATCACCTCCATTGTGCCCTCCTCACAATCCTGCCCAGTTTTGTGTCATGACCAAATTTGGAACTGATGCATTTGGCTCCCTCATCCAGGTCACTAATATATATTGAGAGTGGCTGGGCCCCAAGTGCTGATCCCTGTGATATCTCACTAGTCATTATTTGCCTCTTGGTAAAAAGAGCCATTTATTCACACTCTGGTTGACAGACAGGAAACAATTCTCAATCCACATCAACATATTATCCTCAATCCCTTGTATTTTGCACTTTGCACAGGAATTTTCTATCAAAAGTCTTCTGAAAAAACAAATATACTACATTGACTGGTTTTCTCTCATCCATCCTTTGACCCTCAGAAAGCACCAGTCAATTTATTAAGATTCATTTGCCTTTCATAGCCCCATTCTGGCTTCTTCCAATCCTTTTAATGCTTTTTAAGTGTTCTGTTATCATATATTTGATAATTGATTCCAGAATTTCCCCTACAAACCGATGTTTGGCTATCTGGTCTATAATACTCCACTTTATCTTTGTCGTTCTGCCTCCTTTTTAAATAGAGGGATTGCATTAGCTCCCCTCCAATATGTGCGAACTGTTTCAGAGGCTACCGAATCTTAGAACACGATCAACAATGCCCTCATTTTGTCTAGTTTTTTAATTCATTCATGAGATGAGGGCATTGCTGGCTAGGCAGCATTTATTGCCCATCGCTAATTGCTTAGAGGGCAGTTCAGAGTCAACCACATTGCTGTGGGTCTGGAGTCACACGTAGGCCAAACTAGGTAAGGATGGCAGTTTCCTTCCCTAAAAGGAGGAAAGAGGGGATTTTCTGACAATCAACAATGTTTTCATGGTCATCATTAGATTCTTAATTCTAGATATTATTGAATTCAAATTCCACCATCTGCCATGGCAGGTTTTGAACCTGGGTACCCAGAATGTTATTTGGGTCCCTGGATTAACAGTCTAGCAATAATACCACTAGGCCATTGCCTCATCTAGCTCCAGCTCCTTAAGTACACTGAGATATGGATTATTCGTCCCTGGGGATTTAGCAACCTTCAATCCCATCAATTTCCCCAACACTATTTCCCTACTAACACTGATTTCTTTCAGTTCCTTCCTCTCACTAGACCTTGGTTCCCTAGCATTTTCTGGGAGCTTACTTTTCCTCTTTTGAGGAAGACATAACCAAATTGTGTTTTCAAACCTTCTGCCATTATAATATCCCCCAGATTCTAACTGTAAGGGACCTATGATTTTCTTCACAAATACTTTTCTCTTCACGTGCTTCCAGAAGCTTGTACAGTCAGTTTTTGTGTTCGCTGTAATTTTATGCTCATTCATGTTTTGCTGCTTTTGAACAAAACTTTTGTCCTTGTTTTCCAAACTCTAAATTTAATTGCACAAATTAATTCACACACATACATTCACAAGCACACACTCTCTTTTTATACATTCATGAGATATGGGCATCACTGGCTGGACTAGCATTTATTGCTTGTCCATAATTGCCCACACGTGATTAAGAGTCAACCATTTTGGGGTGGGTCTGGAGTCACATGTAGACCAGACCAAGTAAAGATAGCAGATTCCTTCCCTGAAGGACATAGTGAACCAAATGGGCTTTTCCTGATAATTGACAATGATTTCCATTCGATTACCTTCTTTTTTGTTCAATACAGCTTTGATTTTTTAAAAAAATCAAATTTTAACCATCTGCTGTGGTGAGATCCAAAACTCAGACTGAGGTTCTGACTCCATTATCGACTGACTTAGCAAATTGACTGACTGTCTGAGTCACTGACTGTCTGAGTGACTCACATACAGGCACAAAAACGCAGACAAACTCTCATCCACACCGCGCACGCTCTCTGACTCTCTCACACTCACTCTCTGGCTCACATTCTCTCTCTCTCCCTCATGCTCTCTCTTTGCCACACACTCTCGCGTGCCCTCACAATCTCTTTGTCCCCACACAGTTTCTCTCTCACATACATACACACATAAACATTTCCATACTTGTGCACTGATAAGAATCATGTATTTCCCATGTGTCTGGATTTACATGTCAAGTTGTGTCACACACACCATGTTTCCAAAGTTCATTGATCACTGCAGCGTTTGACAAAATTCATTTCCTTTTCAGAAATACATCAGATTCAAGTGACTGAACAGAACATAGTGACTGGCCCCTGAGGGATTTCCCCAGTATCTCTTTATCCCGTTCACTGACACTGTCTCCAAGAGATCGAAACCATTCGGAATCAATGAGAAACCTGGCAAAGGAAAGCAGAGGGGCTTTCCAGAGACATAATTCTCTCAAGCAATCTCTATCTTTTTAGCACATTCTCTCTCATACACATTCTCTCTCATAGTCTCTCTCTGGTCTCTCACACATGCATAAAATAGGTGTGAGACAGTGTGTGAGAGAGTGTGAGCGAAATAGTGTATGAAAGAGAGTATATGGGAGAGAGAGTGTGTAAGAGAGTGTGTGTGAGGGAAAGTGTGTATGGAAGAGACAGTGTATGTAAGAGAGACAGAATCAGAGAGAGTATATGAGACAGTATGTGAGAGAGAGGGTCAGCGAGACCGTGAGAGAGAGAGAGCGTGAGAGAGAGACAGAGCGTGCGAGAGAGAGACAGAGCGTGCGAGAGAGAGAGACAGAGCGTTCGAGAGAGTCAGAGAGAGACAAAGAGGGAGTGTGACTGAGAGACTGCATTTGTTAAACAGTCTGGGAAATGCCAGCACACATATGTAATGCTATCTGTCCACAGTCTGGATGGGAGTGTGTCTGTTCACATTCTGGTTGTGCACTGAGCTGAGGGCAGGAGCCGAGTGACGGATATATCCCTTGCGGCCACTCGGAAATGGTGATAGAAGCTGGAGGTACGTACCGAGCAGCAGGAGAGTGGTGAGGATCTCCTTCGCTGTGCCCCGTCTGTTTGGGGCGTGCATTCAGTCAGTGACTCAGTCTGCTGTTTCTTGCTTCTCTGATCCTAATGGTGGCAGGGGAGCACAGCCAGAGAGTCTGAGAGAGATCAAGGTGGGACACAATGGTCAGTCACTGGTATCTTTCTGCCCCAATCGCCCTCCATTCCCCTTCCTGATTCAAAATCTCAGCCTTCAATAGACCCGACGACCCAGCCTGGACGGTAAAAAGAAAGTCAACAGATCGACTCTGCTCGGAGAGAAGAATTCCTCCTCATCTCCGTCTTCAATGGGTAACCTCCCTTATTCTGAGATGATGCTTCTCTGGTCCCAGATACTCCCACATAAGGGGAAACAACCTCTCCCCTGTTAAGTCCCTCTAAGAATCTTCAATAAGGTCACCTAAACTTCAGCAGCGGCAGGGGCCTGACCTACTCAACCTCTCCCTCATCAGACAGTCCCTCCGTACCTGGGATCAACTGAGTAAATGTTCTCTGGATCTGCCTTTCAAAGCAACAGTGACACCTCCAATCTTTCTCAACTCGTTCATACTGAGCAGTCCCCCTGAAATCAATCCAGATATTGCCCTTCTCTTTCTCTCGCTGTCCCTCTTAACAAGTCCTCTCTCTCCTACCTGAGATCAGAGAAAAGGATGTTTGCGAGTTGGGAGTGTGACAGCACTGTGGCTTTAAGAGTGATGTGCTATGTGCGGGGAGCTGTTACCACAGTGGCGCTAAAATGTCTCATTCAGACCGGCAATTGGTAAACGGCTTTTGAGTTCTCCCTCGGTGTTCTGTTGAAACAAACGACAAAACAATCATGAGTTGGCAGGGTCAGGTTTCCACAGACCCAGGATGTTTTTTTTAGTTAGTTGAAGATTTCTGCCGGCTGGCTGCTGAGCTAAAAGCTGGAGTTCTCTGCTGTTCGAGTGAAGTCTTAGACAGCGATGCTCCCTCTTAAAAATCAAAACAGGAAGATTGTTCCTTTCTTCTGGACTGCAGAGAGGCAGCATGTGAGATTCATAACTGAGAATCATTACTGAATTGCATTTTTGCCAAAGAGTGTATGTATGGGATTCTGTCTACATTGGAACAGTTGCTGATTAGTGGTTAAATATTTCAATAGAGTAAAGTTATACAAATTCTTCCTTCTGTTATATTTTAATAGTGCTATCAGAATAAAGTGTGTTTCACTCATGTTTACGAGTGGACCAATCAAATCAGAGAGTCTTAAAGCACAGAAACAGACACTTCGGCCCAACTCTTCTGTGCTGACCCTGTTTCCCAAACCAAACTAGTCCCATTTGCGTGCATTTGGCCTATATCCCTCTAAACCTATCCTATCCATATACCTGTCTGAATGTCTTTTAAATATTGTAACTGTTTTGGAGTAGATTTGTAGCTCGGGTTGTGGGTGTTGTGGTTGTTTGGCTCGCCGAGCTGGTTCATTGTTCCGCAGACGTTTCATTACCCTGCTGGGTAACATCATCAGTGCAGCCTCTGATGAAGCGCCGCTGTGTTTTCCCGCCTGGTTTTTAAACTCTGGAATCCGTTGAGCTGGATTGCCTCACTTCCGGTTTTCCTTCGCAATTGAGTGGATATGGGGTCGAGTTCTATGTGTTTCTTGATGGCTTTCTTCAGGGAGTGCCAGGCTTCTAGGAATTCCCGTGCTTGTCTCTGCTTAGCTTGTCCCAGGATTTTGGCTTTGTCCCAGTCGAATTGGTGGTTCTCCTTATCCATGTGGATTGAGATGAGTGATATGATAATACTCACTCATCTCAATCCACATGGATCAGGAGAACCACCAATTCAACTGGGACAATGCCAAAATCCTGGGACAAGCGAAGCAGAGACAGGCACGGGAATTCCTAGAAGCCTGGTACTCCACGAAGAAAGCTATCAACAAACACATACAGCTCAACCCCATATACCTTCCATTGCGAAGAAAAACTGGAAGTGAGGTAATCCAGCCGGGCGGACAGCAGAGTTTAAATAACAGGTGGGAAAACATAACAGCGCTTCATCAGAGACTACACTGATGATGTTACCCAGCAGGGTAATGAAATGTCTGCGGAACAACAAACCAGCTCGTGAGCCAACCAACCACAACATTGTAACTGTACCCACCTCTATCACTTTCTCTGCTAGTTTGTTCCATATACGCACCACCTTCTGTGTGAAAACGTTGCCTCTCGGGTCCCTTTTAAATCTTTTCCCTCTCACATTAAACCTCTGCCCTCTGGTCTTGAACTTCCCACAAGTAATTACCATTCTCTCTCTGTCAATTTCAGCAAAGTGAGTATGTGAGAGCACTATCAATGTACATCTGTAAGTTTTAGTTATGTCCCAATATAAGTTTAATAATTGATCTATACATGTCATTTTCTGCTTTGTGACTGTGAGAGTGAGGTTGTCAATCTGTACTAATCACTTTCTCCTCGTGTGTATCAAAGTGGCTTGGTTCTCTGGCGTTCAGTGATATTCTCAGTGACTGTGATTCATTTTGTGAGCGTAGTTATGAGGGTGTTGAGAGTGGGTCTGAATCACTGCATTTTGTGATTTATGAGATTTCTGTCAAGTCTGTGGAGGTGGGGAACAGGGGAGATGGGGTGATGACATGGGGAGGCCAATTTCATTTGAGAAGCATTGTGAATCAACACAATTTCTTGTTTGGATAGGGAATGTATGTACCAGATACTGGTCCTGCCCATCAGTGAAGGACCTTTCCTTTTTTAATGTTCTGTGGTATCACTAAGACATTTAGTTTAGTTTCACACACATACATTTTTGGTGCTTTGTGAAAGAGTATTATTTTACATCTGTCTGTCCATGCTGCATGATATTTTTTATATCGATAGCCTATATAGCAGAATGTGATTTCCTTATCACCCAAATCAGAATCAGAGACTCGGTCCAGCACAGAAACAGGCCATTCAGCCCATTGTCCCAGTGCAGGCACATTCTATTTTTCATCTGTTCTCCATACTAGTTTCCAGTGATTGTTGGGAATGCAGCTTCTCAGCTGCCATGATATAGTTATGGAAATAGAATACTGGCTGAAAGGGATTGGAATCGTTAGCTCAGTCAATTGTGATGTTGTTATAGGTTGTTTATGGGCAGTGCAGACTTAATAATTTGAAAGGGCTTAAGGGCTTATTCTGTGCTGTAGAGCTCAGGCTTGAGATCGGAGAGTAGAAATCAGTTTAAATGTCAAGTTTTCTGATACTTGCAGTGTATATGGACCTTTATCGCTTTTAGATATCATAATGTTTATGTCAGAATGGTGAACAAATTTGCAAATTATTGTAAATCAGTCAGGTGGGATGTGTGTGTATGAGTGCGCACATGTGGGATGTCGGTGGAGGGGTGGTGCGTGAAATGGTGGTTTTGTGTGCATACATGCAGTAAGCATTCTCTCTGTATCAGACTTTGGAACAGATGTTCATTTGGAATTTAGAATGTTTAATTGCTGTGCTTAGTATAGGACAACTATTCATCAAAAGATTAACTTTGTCCTGCTCAGTTACTGATAATGTCAAAGGTACCTTCTTTATCTGCACTCAATACCTACTTCATGTATCCTTGTTGTAATGATGTAAAAGCACAATCTATTTGTTGACCTTGATTGTCACTTTAAAAATGCCTTTACTAGATGTGAATTTAATGCAGTTCTTGACTGCATATTTCAGATGAGGACATGATCTATCCCCCTTCAAATGTTGTGAATGATAATTGGCTATGAATGATGGAACTTTTTGGAGCTGGAGTGGCTCAATCTACTGTGACTGTGGAAAGAATGTTCTCAGCTCTGACAGCGGTAACATACCTCCTGGTTGGTAGAAGCAGCTGGTCACATTTGGCTTTGTACTGAGGAAAGATTACATTGTCTTGGTCCATTAAATAATTGCCTAGAGGAAGACAGAAGAGATTTCTCCTGTAAATCATCAACTGAGTATGAAATCATCAACTGATCAATGCAATATTCAGGTCATAGTCATTTTTATTCTTTGGTTTTTAAGCACCGCAAGTTGAACCGAGCAGGGTCTGGTTCCACTCTCGCCCGGAGCTCCTCGTCTCTTTCAGTGAAATTCTAAAACAATTCAATAAGTCACAAAACTAACCAACACCTATACAGCTCCATGAATGAAATACTTACACAGTTCAATACCCAGCTCCCAGTACACTAACTGTTGAAAAGAAGAACAACGGGCACTATTTCAAACATTTCACTTGAGAATTTTAAACCGGTGACTGCTATATTTATCCCTTACACGATTAGCACATTTGTATATACTGACTGTTTTTCTCTTCCACGATTCAACGCCAATTCGCAACAAACAGCGTGAAACAGAAGCTAAGCAATGATTTTACATCAGTGTTTAGAGATTTCAAAACCACAAGAATGACCCCGAGCAGCTTCTTGCCACTGTGTCTCCCTTAGCAGGCCCACACACAGCCCGAGAAAGGCCTCTCACTCCAACTTCCGGGACCAGTTCCTGCTCCGCTCGGCCTCTTACAAACAGACCCCTGTTCTCCCTGAACTAAGCCCGAATCAATGTCGGTCTCGGAGGCCCCCTCTGTGTCCCAGGCTCACATCTCGATGTGCTGCTGGAAGGAGCCTGCTGCACCCTCGCTTCCCTGGGCGCTGGTCTCTCCATTGCGGTCTGTTTCAAACAAACCTCTTCCACTCACTGAGTCAATGCTCCTCAATGGCAACGCCGGGGGTGGCCTCACGCATGCGCTCCTTCAGTCAGCAACAAGCAGCTTTGGGGGCAGGGCCAGCATTGCGCTTGCGCTGCTTTTCGCAATGATTCCCAGAAACAAACATCAATGACTCCCTTTACTCCCAGTTTGAGAAAAGCAACTGGGGACCGTGGGGATACCACGTGGGGATACACTTCTGACAGGACTGTTGGAGATGGTGGACAGGTTTCAGGGAGTCAGGAGGTAAATTAGTTGCTGCAGTATTTGCGGCCTTTGACCTGCTCTTGCAGCCACTGTATTTATATGGCAAGTCCTGTTCAATTTGTGGATCATGGTAACTCCCAAGATGTTGATAGTGGAGGATACAGCACTGCTGAAGTAAAGGAGTCGTGGTCAGATTGTCACTC